AACTTATAGGCCCATTGTTTGCCAACCCTATATATGATCTTGGATACACTCTCCATTTAGACATACCTAATTGTTTAGCTTGTTCACCCATCTATCTGTCCCTATACCCATGTTTGCTTTCATTGACAACCAAGTGGCTTCTTATGCCCAGCTTCTTCATCCACCTTTCCTAGCACCTCTTACTACCCAGCACTGGGCAAGGCGCGTGGGAAGTAACACCTCAGTCCTGCCTTCATGGAACTTACAGTTAAAGAAGAGGCGGCGGCAACCTAGGCTCCAGGGATCACAGAGGGGAGAAGAGGAGGGGTTGGACCTGTGAGCCTACTGGTCAAGGAGGCCCGAGGAGTCCAGAAAGTTTCTTAAAGGGAGGGAGGGGCTATGTCTTCAAAAGGAGACAAGGTTGGGGAAAGACAAGGAGTAAGAGCAAGTGGGTGGGAGGTGGCAGGAAATGAGAAAGAGGAGGAAGTAAGGCAGGCAGCAGTTTAGAGAAACTTTTCTTTTTTTCGAAGTGTTACTCTGCCTGGGCAAAGGAGCTCTGGTGGTGCAGTGCCTAAGGCATTTGACTGCTAACCAAAAGGTTGGTGGTTCAAACCCACCAGCCACTCTGTGGAAGGAATATGAGGCAATCTACTTTGGTAAAGATTTACTGCCTTGGAAACCCAATGGGGGTCGCTATGAGTCATATTTGATTTGAAGGCAGTGGGTTTGGTTGGTTTTGCCTAGGCAGTGTGCCATGGAGGGCTTTCCAGACAGTAGTCCACTGAAGCTTCACCATAACCAAATGAAGTTAGCTTTGCAATAAACCCAAGACTGTTATCCCCATCTTACATTTGAGAAACTGAGGCACACAGGAGTTAAGCATGTTGCCTAACTAGGAAATGGAGGAAGTGAAAAGAGGGAAAGATTTAGTTAGGAACCAGGAGGGAACTATAATTTATTGTGAGGCATTTCTTGCAGGGCTTTTCTTTGCCTGCTTTACAGTCATTCCTTCATTCCAGCTTTCACTGAACCTATCAGCAAACTTTTGTTCAATGGCTACTGTGCCAGGCACTGTACTGGGTGTTTGGGCATACAAGGATGAATGAATTCATTCAAGCATCTTTCCTTGAGCATGTACAAACAGGCAGTGGCAATATGGTGACAAGTCCTATAAGGTTTGTAGAGGGGCTGTGGCAGTGCGTGGGAAGATGGGGGGGGGGGGGGGGTGGGGTGGGTTAATTATTTTTGAAGAGAAGAGAAAGGAGCTATAGAGAAGCAGAGCTAGAAGGGGCAGGATTGGTAAGACAACACAACAAGGTAAATAGTCTAAACACATGGGCTTACTACATGGAAGAAAGATGGGAGGAAGATGAGGGAGGCAGTCTGCTTCTGTAAAGATTTACAGGATTGAGAACTCAATGGGGCAGTTCTACTCTATACTATAGGGTTGCTATGAGTCAGAATCGACTTGACAGCAGTGTTTTTCTTGGGGGGGATTTACTAAGGGAAAATCCTGGCTCCCCCAACTAGCTCTATTGCATACCAGAGTGTAGTGTAGACACACAATTACCAGTATCATGTGTTGGAATAATCATAATTAGCTCTTTACTTCCTAGTCAGAAGATTTTACCCAGTGAGGACATGTTTGGGATAATTCTGTACAATGGAAGTAAAGCTTTTGTTGGTACCTGCATACTTTTCTCTTCAGATCGAGAAAATCTTTTACCTTTTACTAAAGATTTCTGTGGAGAGGAAATTTTATGAGTTGGTAATCAAATTTTTTAGAGGCCTTGCTTGAGTAAGGCTAAATATCTAGTTCGTCAAAGGTAGATAACTTGGTTTATGAAGGTGTGAGTCGGACCAGAGGCAGCCTGGTGGTGCCATGGTTAAGCGGTCAGCTGCTAACTGAAAGGTCAGTGGTTCGAACCCACCAGCCACTCACTGGGAGAACAATGTGGCTGTCTACTTCTGTGTTTGGAAACTCTCTGGGGCAGTTCTACTCTATCCTGTAGGGTCACAGTGAGTTGGAACTGACTCAAGTGAAACAGTTTTAAACAGGACCAGTAAATACAAGGAAATTCAGTCAGCGTGCTTCTCATTTTCCTTCCCAAAGGAAGACAATGGTTTGAGGCAGGGCCTAGCTGGTACCAGGTCTGAGTTCCCAGCCCCAGGATCTAGTGGCTTTCTAAGATTGGGACACAGACTAGTTTATCAGTAGTTTAGAACTGGGCTCCATTATTTCCTGCCACCTACTGCACATGGGACCCTAGATGGGTCGGGCTTTGTAGTATCCTCAGCTCCTTGCCCGAGCTCCAAAGCCCTGAGGTACAAAACGCAGGCCCACCTTTCTGGGCCTTAATAAATGGTGATCTGGGTCCTGTCCTGATTTAGAGCTGAGAGTGGAGTGAGATTGTGGGATAGCCCAGAGAGAAAGGCTCATTTGTACGCCACAGGGCACAGTGTTTAGGATGTATTGAAGTGATGATAAGCCACATTTACTACCTGCTGTTTGTTTTGTGGTTTATTTTTGGTATATCTGTCGTTAGTAATATGTGCTACATACAGTGTTGCAGCATGTAATTTGCTGATGTTATCCTCAGGTGTTCACTTGTCTATGTTCAGTATTGTGATTTATAAAGATACTGATAACAAAAGGCAATAATAATGAAAACTGAAAAAAAAAAAGAGGTATTCAACTTATGTCAGAACTGACAATAGTCTTCAGAACAGGACCTTGTCTTGATTTAAGCACTGCTTATACTCTATTTTAGTTTAAAACTGCAAGTTTCTATTTCCTTGGGTCGACATATATGTTTTCCCAAAATTCCTTCCCACCCATTTCCTGGTAGAGTGGCTGTAGTCCAGGAATAGACCCCATCACTTTTTGAAGAACTGCAGTTAGTTGAACAAAGAGTAGCAAAAGCAGCCTGCACTGTTTTCTCTTCAGACCTTGTAACTCTTTGGTCTTTTACTGAAGATTAGCATGGAGAGAAGCATTCGTGAGTTCATCAGTAGCTTTTTGAGGGCTATTTTTCACAAGCTATTTAGCACCATTTCAGTAACAAAAGTCAAGGGTAGTTGTGTTCTCCACACAAATTGTTTTTCCATTAAGGCTTGTTGGGTGGGGAGGGCTGAGCTGTGAGTAGGGATGGAAATGTGGAGAAGGCAAGGGTTCACTCCGAGCAGAAATCAACTCAAGGGTACCCAACAACAAGGGATGGGAAAGCCAAAAATGCACAGAGTTTTCCTGACAATGTGAGTAGAAGATAGAGCGGCTTTTGAGCAAATTTGGCATGAGATGAAAAACCAGGCTTTTTTTTGGGGGGGGGGG